CGGCAGGGGAGCAGCCTGGCCGCGGCCCAGGCGAGGGCGCGGGGCGGCCGTGAAGTTCGCCGAGACGCGTGCAACTTTTTCCCGGGGCCTCGGCCCTAATTCTGGTCAGAGTGAGCGTCGGGGCGGGCGGGTCCCGGGACTGTCGACCCTGTGGACCCCACACAGCGCCCCCTAGGCCGGTCCCTTTTCCTAGGCTGCCGCTGGGACCACTGCGCCCAGGTCCAGCCCCAGAGCTGGTCAGACCTGAGAAACCTCGTGCATTGCCACAGTAGCCGAGAGGTTCGAGGCCTCCACTCGACCTCCCCACTGCCCAACCCACTCTAGTCCACCTGCTTGCCTGGGCTGGGGTGGCCAGAACCGTGCGCTGACATCTCTCTTTGTCAGGCCCTAGAGTGCCAACCCCAAGGAAGGGGAGGTGAGTGGTCCTCACAGAAGCCGGACCTCCCCACAGACTGCTGGTTATCTGGGGTGGCTTCCTGGGGGCTGGAAGGCCTCCAACGTGAGGGGGTCAGATGGCTCTGCCTTCCACAACCTGGGGGGGGGGGTCACTTGTTGCTGAAACTCTGCCGACCCCCCAATGGCTCCCAAGTGAGCAATGAGAATGCGGGAGGTCTTGAGGACCAGGCCTGAACTCTTTTGGTCTGGAGGGCAGTGTGGACAGCTTGGCAGGGGAGGTGGCGGCAGCGGAGGTGGCGGTTTCCGCCTAACTTCAGCCTAACTTACCCGATTCTCCTTGCGCATTTCCCTGGAGCTCAAAGGGGACCTAATTAACTGACAGCTGGTCTGATTGCCATGGGGGTGGGGGCAGTGACTGGGACTGCTCGATGCCCCCTACCCCTCACGGTATGGCTTGACTCCTGGCACCGGGAGGACAACTTTCCGGTTTTTGCAAGGCCTGGGTGAAGAGTTCTCCTGTCTGAAGAAACTGGCAGAAGGAGCCAGACCCAAGCCCCCAGCGGCACCCCCAGGCTCCTTTGAGTCAGGGGCTCGGGCTCACACCTGAGCCTGAGAGTGAGGTTGGGGGTGCCTGCATTGTCTGGCTCAGCCTCGCTCTTGCAGTAGGATCTGGTTTCTCTGGAGCCCTTGAGCTGACCTTAGGTGGGCAGGGCCACGTGTGTGCTATGGCCCATGGGGCATCCTCCCCAGAGGGCCCAGCCCTGGCAGCTGGAACCAGAGCCAGCTTTGGCTCCCAAGGTCTGTTTTCAGAAGCCGGGGAGAGGCAGGGCCTGGGTGGGAGAAGCTGGAAAAGAGAGGTGGCCTGGCACAGCCAGGGAGTGGGCCAAGCCTGGACTGGGGTTTCTCTTGCCCTTTGGTCTCAGCGTGCTGTGTGGCCTTAACACATTGCTGAACGTCTCTGAGCCCCAGGTTCTCACCTTTGGAAGATGTGGGGGTTGACTGAGCTGTAGTTCCTTTCAGCACTGACAGTCTTTGATTCAAAGGCTCCTTGGGGACTCCAAAGCACCATTTGTTCCCTGCTGCCTGGGGTGAGGGTGGGGACAGGCTGCAGGTGGCTATCCTGTCCCCTGCCACCTCTTCCTCCATCTCCTTAGATCCGGCGCAGGAGACCAACCCCTGCCATGCTGTTCCGGCTCTCGGAGCACTCCTCACCAGGTAGGGACCTTTCCCTGCCACCATCCTCCGTGTGTCCCCCAACTCTGGTGCTCACCTGCCAGAGGCCCACAAGTAGGAGAGAGGTGAAGGTCAGTGCTGGGAGCCCAGCTCTGTGGGGCCCATTCACTGACACAGCACCTCCAACATCAGGGAAGGGGCACCTTCCCGTCCCCCGAGACGGAGTCCTTGGCCAAAGTCACCTAAGTTAACCAAAGTTTCTCTCTCCCTCCTCTCTCCTGTTTGGCTTGGTGGCCTGGCTCAGAAGAGGAGGCTTCCCCGCACCAGGTGAGTGTCCTGGGCAGCTGGAAGAAACGATGCCTGGGCCCTCAGGGGTGAGGTGGATGGTGCTTTCAGTGCCAACCAGCCCACCTTGGCGCCACCCAGGAGGACATATTAGCATATCAGTCGGCACCCTCCCCCCCCCCAGTGCCGGAGGCCTGGGTGCCACCAGCGGATCCTCCAGGGCGCTTGTCTTTCCTCTGCTGATGTAGGTGGGGTCTCTAGGACCTCGGATTCCTCCATGAGTCAAGCCAGGCTTATGGGGTCCCTCCCAGCTGGGTGCAGAACCCGTCTGAAGAGGCAAGACCAGTCTACCTGAGACAGTCTACCTGGGTTGCTAGGGGTGGGTGGAGTGGAGGAAAGGTGACAGGAAAGGGGCCTGGGTGACCTCATTTAACCCGACACTCCCACCGCAGAGAGCTGCAGGAGAGGGGCACCACCTCAAGTCGAAGAGACCCAACCCCTGTGCCTACACGCCACCTTCGCTGAAAGGTACTACCCCCTGCCCCGTCCTCTGGACGTCCCCTGATCCCTGGAACTGAGCTAACCCTGGGGGCGGGGGGTAAGATGTCAGGTCTTGTCTGTAGAGAGGGACGCTTTCTCGCACCAAAACTCCGATTTAGAGACCAATTCTTTCTTAAACTGGTCTTACAAAAAAACAAGTAGCCTGGGACCGGCAGGTGGCATGATAGTTAGGGGCACTGGACTCCCACATGGTTGACTGGCAGCTTGCTCTCCCGCTTCCTCTCTCTTTCTCACTCTGTTCCTCTCTAGTCAAATGAAAAATAAACAAATAAATAAAAAGTTAAATAAAATAATTATTGAAACAAACAAAACAAAACAAAAAACAAGCAACCCATGGGACCAGCAGATGCTGTAGTGGTTATCTCCCACGTAGTCCCAGACCTGGCAGCTTAAAACACACCAGGTGCATGTGCGTGCGTGCCCAAAATCCCAAGAGGAGAGTGGAGGAGAAGGGATTGTGACAAGGCCTTTACCCAGGGCGGGGAGGTGATTTCTTGCTTTCTGTCTGTCTGTCTGTCTCTCTCCAGCAAGCACACCCACCCTAGAACAAATATCTCTCTTAACCAAACAAACAAGCAGCCCAAAGGCAGGGAAAGCAGCTGTGAGCTTTAAAATCAGTAGTGGGGTGGGACCAGCAGTTAGCGTAATGGCTATGTCGCTGAACTCCCATGTAGCCGACCATGGTTTGAGTCCCAGACCTGGTGGCTTAAACTCACGCTGGGCGCGGGTGCGTGTGTGCCCAAGATCCCGAGAGGAGAATGGAGGAGAAGTGATTGCGGCGTGGCCATCCACCTAGGGGGGGATTTCTCGCTTTCTGTCTCTCTGTCTCTCTATCTTTCTGGCGAGCACACACGCCCTATAGCAAAAACTTCTCCAAAAAAATTAAAAAGTTAAAAAAAAAAAAATCAGTAGTGGGGTTGAAGGAAGAGATGGCTGGCCTAAACACCAAGCAGGCATCACCTGAAAGAGCCTCGGCCTGCATCTCCTCTTGCAAGCCTGAGCGAGACCGCCTCCCACCTTCCACTCATTGCAGGATGCCTTCCCTGTGGGCTGCACCCACCCTGCTCTCCTCTCCTCCCATTTGTACGGAGCTGCACACTGGACTCCTTTTTTTCCTTCTCCTTTTTTTAAAAATGTTTTTTAAAAGAATGATTTAATTTTATTTATTATTATTTTTAAAATTTGCTATAGAGCACATGCACTCACCAGAGAGACAGTGTGAAAAGTAAGCCACCAGGTCCGGGACTCGAACTTCAGTTGGCCATGTGGAAGTCCAGCGTCCCAACCACCACGCCACCTGCTGGCCCTTTGATACTATTTTTAAAAGTTTATTGGGGCTGGCAGGTAGCATGGTGGTTAAGGGTGCTGGACTCCTACATGATCGATAGTAGTTCGAGTCCTGGATCTGGAGACCTGCTTCCTCTCTCTGTCTTGCTCTATCCCTCTCTGATCAAATTAAAAAAAGTAAATAAAGAAATACAGTTAAATAAAATAATTCTTTAAAAGAAAAGTTTATTTACTCATTTCTTTTGAGAGAGAGAGAAAGAGAGAGACCCCTCCACCAGAGTCCTCATGCTGCATTCTGCCTGCGGCCTCATGGGTCTGATTGTGGTTCTGTGTGCCCAGAGTGCTCAGCGTGCTCGGGGTGGTCCCAGGGCATGAACCCAGGACCTTTCCTGCTGTGCATCATTGCTGTACCACTACCAGCTCCCTGCTTTTCCTTCCTGTATTAACAGGCAAGTCATTCCTTAACACACCCTGACTGAACACCTAGAGTATGCCGGCTTCACGGGCCAAATACAGCCAGCGAGATTGGGTGCCTGCCTTCCTGGGACCCTTAGTCTGGGAGGGTCTGCATAGTTCACAGAGAAACGGGGTAAGCCTGGATTTGAGGGATCTGAGTGGTGCAACAGGAAGGAAAGGACACCCCAGGAAGAGGGAAGGGGGTGTGCAGAGGGAGGAGGTGTGCGTTGCAGGGGTCAGGGCCCAGGGCCAGCCTGGAGACTTGGTTTCCAGCCGGGGTTCTGTGTTGCTGTGTGAGCGATACCTGAATGCGAAGGGGGTGCAGGTTGGGGCGAGTGCAGAGAGACTTCCTAATAAGCCCTGCGTGCTTGCCCACCCCCACCTCAACTCCTGCCTAAGGCTCTTCCTGCCTGGCCTGCCCCCTCCTCCCACGGAGGGGGAGCCGGAAGGGTGTGCTGAGAGCTCCCTCTGGGGTGGGTTTAATAAGTTCCCAGCCCCAGCCAAGGTCAACAGGTGCACCTGTCAGCCTGCCTGCCAGGGCTGGGAGCAGAGGGGAGGCTGGGAGGAGAGGAGAGAGGGTGGAAGTCTTACTTGTCCCTAGGACAGGAAAGTGGAATGATAGCTGCAGCTAGCAGGCAGTGCAGTCCAGCACCTGGAAGGATGTCCCCACCTGTAGGGACATAGGAAGCATCCCAAAGCAAGCATGAGGGAGGAGACGGCATTTTCTCAGGAATATAAATGCCCCCTGCCCTTGCCACACTGGGCTGGGTGAGTCTGGGTGGATGTGAGGGGACTGTCCCTGGGCTCTTGATCTGCCCTTGGGAAAAGCAGTGGGCTGGAGTGTGGGTTAGGGCCAAGGAGCTTCCTGGGCACCCTGTGTGGCTCAGCATGTGTCCCCACCCCTTGGTGCTCTCTGGGGAGAGTCTCAGTGGAGAGAGGCAGGGAAGTATGAAGAGGTCAGGAGAGGGGTGGTGGCCCGGGGCTGTCCTAGGACCTTGGAACTTGAAAAGGAAGACTTGGGTGGGGAGTCAGGGCCCCAGAGGTGGGAACAGATCAAGAAGGAAAAGCCTGGGGGACGAGGGAGAGCCCCCCAGAGGGCCCTTGTCAGGCATGCGGGAGGTGCCCGGTGCCCAGCCCAGTGCACCTGTGGTCACTGTGGCTCAGAACTAGACTTTTCTTTCTTTCTTTCTTTCTTTCTTTCTTTCTTTCTTTCTTTCTTTCTTTCTTTCTTTCTTTCTTTCTTTCTTTCTTTCTTTCTTTTGAGAGGTTTTCGCTCTAGGGCACATGAGCTTGCCGGAAAGAGACAGAGAGACAGAAAGTGCAAAATCACCCCACGGGGGGATGGCCACGCTGCAATCATGCACGCACACGCGCCCGGCATGAGTTTTAAGCCACCGGGTCTGGGACGCAAACTGCGGTCGACTACATGGGAGTCCAGCGACATAGCCATTACACCAATTGCTGGTTCCCAGAACTAGACTTTTCTTCCGCAGCTAGAGAGAGGACGCTGCCCAAGCTGCCACCTTCTCTCCTGTGACCACTCTGTAACCCTCCTGGACTCTGTACCAGGAGGGCGCTGTTTCGCAGGCTTCGGCCCCTTTCTGGGCAAGGGGAAGTGCGTGGCAGGGTTAGAGGCCTGCCAGGAGGGATCCAGGCCCTCGAGGAAGATGGACAGTGCTGAGTCTCGGCTGGTGATGTGGGGGGGCTCCAAGGCTGGAGCGCTCAGACTTGGCTCAGGGTGAAACTCTGCTGCGTCCCCAAGGCCAGGGCAGGGCAATTTATTGCACTTTTATTGCCTGGGTAGCCTGCCCAGAGCCAGCAGGAGGCACCGGCTGGGAGCTGGGGCAGGGCGGGGCAGTGGGCCCACACAAAGCGCCCTCTGTGCCTGTCCCGGTGTTGGCAGGAGTTCGTGCCCTGCTAGCTGCGCTGGAGGTTTCCAGCCTGGATCTACCCTCTGGGCCTTCTGAGGGGAGGGGCCGTGCCCGAGAAGGAGCTGCAGAGCTGACCCCAGCTCACCAGCATCGTGGGGAGGGTGCTGTGAACTCTGTCCCAAGTGCTGTCGGACCCCAGCTGCCCCAGTCCCCTGCTGACTGTCACAGCCTTTCCTCCTGGGGGGCCCTTCCACCCCTGCCAGTCCCCCAGTCTCCAGCCCTGGCCTTTCTTCCAAGCCCCTGCTCCTTTCCATCTTTTGGAAACTTCTCTCCCAACTGCCCACACTGTTCCCGTTCCTTCCTAGGCCCTACCCAAGCAGAGCTTTGGGGGGGGGGTGTTGCTGCATTCTAGGTCACCGCAGAGGGAGCTGGGAGCTTGGGGATGTGGGTCAAGATTGTGGGGGCTGCATCTGAGCACGCCACATCCCCAGGCACGAGCTTTTGTGGCTGTAGACTGTCCTGTCCTCCGCCTCAGAACTGTTTCCATTCCCTTGGAGCCTGGGGCAGGGATGTGGGCTGACAGCTGTGACCGGGCAGGGTGGGGATTGGGACTGCGCACCGCATGGGGACAGGATGGAGGTGAGCAGTGAGCCCGTGCAGGCTGGGCACGCTCCCAGAAATGGAAAGGGGCAAATCTCCAGGCCCTGGCCCACTGCCTTCTACCCGAGGTGGGAGCTAGGAGACAGTCTCCAGGACTCGCCGGCCAGGGAATGTTAAGCTGCTGTTGTGCCCGCCTGGTCTTGCCCAGCCTGGCGCCCTATGGTGTGGGGGTGCTTCCTGGTGCCAGCCTCCAGGGGACCAGCATCTTGGGACAGCTTAGGAGCCAAACACGATCATGTCTACCTCCTCCTGCTTCTGTCCTGGCCTGGCCCTCAGGAGGCTGCCTGCAGCCTTTGACCTTTAAACTTGGGCTGCTGAGGGGGTTATCTCTGCCCCAGTCTCATGGGAAGGAGGCTAAGGACCGGGCCACGCGCCACCCCCAGATCCATGGCTGCTTCTGGGGCCTGGCTGACCCTGGGCTTCCCGTCCCTGGAGCAGCTGTGCAACGCATCGCTGAGTCTCACCTGCAGTCCATCAGCAACCTGGGTGAGAACCAGACCTCGGAGGAGGAGGATGAGCTGGGGGAGCTGCGAGAGCTGGGCTACCCAAGGGAGGAGGACGAAGAGGAGGAGGAGGACGATGACGAAGAGGAGGAAGAGGAGGACAGCCAGGCTGAAGTCCTGAAGTTTGGTAAGCTGAGGGGACTGTGATGCGGGTGGGGTTAGGTGTGAGTCCTGGGACACCTCCTTACGCCTGAAACTACAGTGACATCCCCTCTCCCGCCAGAAGGCCTCGCATGCATTCAGCTTTCCCTGAGACCCAGGCTTCCTCCACCCTGGCTTGGTCTCCCAATCATGTTTTCCCTGATAATTCTTCTTCTTTGAGAGGTTTTTGCTATAGGGCACATGTGCTCGCCAGAAAGACAGAGACAGAGAGACAGAAAACGAGAAATTACCCCCCGGGGGGGGGGGATGCCCACGTTGCAATCCCTTCTCCTCCATTCTCCTCTCAGGATCTTAGGCACACACGCACATGTGCCCGGCGTGAGTTTAAGCCACCGGGTCTGGGACTCAAACTGCGGTCGACTACGTGGGAGTCCAGCGACATAGCCATTATGCCAACTGCTAGAACCAATAATTCCTGTCTTCTAAAAGAATGGAGGCAAGGCCACCTGTGGTTTGAGATTAGATCCAAAAAAGGACTTCCTTCTTGTGGCAGTGAGGCTGTGGGTGGGTGTGAAGAGACCCAGGAAAAGAGGACTGAGAAAGCCCAACACCCTCACTGCCTGCATTTCTGAGCTTAGCGGGTGGTCTCCGCTGGGATGCCAGGGCCCTGGGCTGACTTGCTCCCTCCAGAACCCTGAGGCTGTTTCTCCCTTCCTAAGATGGTGTGAGAGGGTGCCCTCTAGTGTCTAGATGGAGAATCTGGGATTCAAGAACCAATCGCCCTGCACCACCTGCCTGGGAAGACAGCCGCCAGGGAAGGGCTGAAACAGGAAGCAAGGGGCCTGGGAGGAAAATTCCACAGAAGGTCCCAAGGTCCAGAAAACTTCTAGGCAGAAAGATCACACTCCTTCCACGGTCGTCACCTGGCTGTGGAAGGCTGTCCACGTTCCTCCCAATGCCCATGAAAACTTTGCTTCATTATTTGCGGGACTGGCGAGCACTCAGCCGCCTCTGCTTGAAGTGTCCAGACTCAAACCAGACAGCTCGTGTCTCCTATCTGCGTCATTGGTGGGACGGCACCAGCCATAGGCACCATAGGCAGCTCTGGCCTCCAGGAATAGGGACGGGATGGAGTTGGGTCAGCTCCCACCGAGACCTCCCGAGGACAGGTGGAAAGGAAGGGAGAGCAGACTGCCCCTGCAGAAAAGGCAGCAGAGTCTGGGCCCATGACAAAACTGTCAACGTTTCTTCCTCTCATGCGTGAGAGACAGGGACAGAGATACAGCACCTCTGTTGTGGATGGCCTTCTCTGATGATATCCAGGTTCTCGGTGTTTTGGACAAAGAGTTGAACAAAACACGCCAATAACAAAAAGAAAAGGTAGTTTATTAGGAAAAGTAAAAGTGCACTCCAGTGGGCCGGAACGGGCTGGGGCAGACAGAGAACAGTGGCTCCAAGGACCTGGCAGTTACATTCTGTGAGGCTTCTGATTTTTTTTGTTTGTTTGTTTGTTTTTGCTATAGGGCATGTGCGCTCGCCAGACAGACAGAGACAGACAGACAGAAAGAGAGAAATCAACCCCCGGGGGGATGGCCATGCCGCAATCCCTTCTCCTCCATTCTCCTCTCGGGATCTTGGGCACGCACACACACGCAGCTGGCCTGAGTTTAATCCACCGGGTCCGGAACTCAAACCACGGTCGACTACGTGGGAGTCCAGCGACATAGCCATTACGCTAATTGCTGGTCCCCCAAGGCTTCTGATTTTTTAATCTAGGTCTTGTTGGCTGATCATTGGCTAGGCCCACCAATTGTTCTCATCTCATTGGCTCTATCAAATGTGACTCCATCAGCTAGACATCCCCCACTAATCTGCCTATGTTACCTTGGGAGAGGAATTGTCTACCCTGGTGTTTTTGTTTTGTTTTATTTTGTTTTTAACATTCTCTTCCTTTTTAAAATTTTATTTATTCATTCATTTATTCTTTTTTTTTAAAAGAGTTTTTTTGCTATAGGGCGCATGCGCTTGCCAGACAGACAGAGAGAGACAGAGAGACAGAAAGCGAGAAATCACCCCCCCCAAGGGGGGATGGCCACACCACAATCCCTTCTCCTTTATTCTCGTCTTGGGATCTTGGGCACGCACATACACACACCTGGCATGAGTTTTAAGCCACCAGGTCTGGGACACGAACTGTGGTCGACTACGTGGGAGTCCAGCGACATAGCCGTTATGCTAACTGCTGGTCCCATTCATTTATTCTAATTTGACCAGAGGGAGACAGAGAATGGGAAAGTGAGAAAGCAAGCCACCAGGTCTGGGACTCAAACTGGGGTCAGCCATGTGGGAGTGTCCAGTGCCTTAGCCACCATGCAACCTGTTGGTCCCTGTTTTTTAAAAAAAGAAAATAATTATTTTTTAGGGACTAGCAGTTAGCGTAATGGTTATGTCACTGGACTCCCATGTAGTGGACCACAGTTCGAGTCCCGGACTTGGTGGCTTAAACTCACACTGGGCATGTGTGCGTGCGTGCCCAAGATCCTGAGAGGGGAAGGGATTGTGGCATGGCCATCCCCCCTGGGAGGTGATTATTTTTTGCTTTCTGTCTCTCTGTCTCTCTCTGTCTTTCTTGTGAGCACACACGCCCTATAGCAAAAACAAACAAACAAAAAAACCTCTCCCAAAAAAAGAGAATTATTTTATATTTTTTTATTTATTCATTTTTTTGGAGAGGCTTTTTGCTATAGGGCGCATGTGCTTGCCAGAAAGACCGAGAGAGACAGAAAGACAGAAAGCAAGAAATCACCCCTGGGGGGATGGCTACGCCGCAATCCCTTCTCCTCCATTCTCCTCTCGGGATCTTGGGCATGCACGCACATGCACCCAGCATGAGTTTAAGCCACTGGGTCTGGGACTTGAACCGCAGTTGACTACGTAGGAGTCCAGCGACATAACCATTACGCCAACTGCTGGTCTCTATTTCTTAATTTTAATATTACCAGGAAGGGATAGAGACAGATCTGGTACTCAAACCATGGTTGGCCATGTGGGAGTCCAGCACCCTTAACCACCACACCACCCGCTGACCCCAGAGGGGACTTTTCTGCCCTGATTGGGTTTTTCTGTCTAGCCACATGGGCGGATGCTCCAGCCCCATTACCTGCTTCCGTTTTCTAGCTTCCTCCTACCTCAGTATTGCTCCTAGATCATGGACAGCCAGTGGTAAAGTGGTAAGATTGGCGCTTTGTGAGGCTAACCACATGGGAGGGTTCTGGGTTCGTGCATAGAGGCCTCCCTGAATACATTAGGCATGTGTGTGCCCACAGTCTGGGGCTGGCTGAGGCTAGGAGTAGATGATGTCATCAAGGCCTTGGTAGGGGGTGCGGCAGGAGAAAGCTTGGAAATGGAGCAGTGGGGCCAGCAGGTGGCATAGTGGTTAAAAGCGTTGGACTCCTATGTGACCGACTAGTTTGAGTCCTGGATCCAGTGGCTGGAAACACACTGGGTACGTGTGCATGTGCATACCCAGAATGGAAGAGAATGGAGGAGAGAGACTGTAGTGTGGCTATCCCCCCTGGGGGTGATTTCTCACTTTCTCTCTCTCTCTCTGTCTCTCCTGTGAGTGCTTGTGCACTAGAACAATAATCTCTCAAGAAAGAAAAAGAAAATGGAAGTGGGGAAGGAGGCTGGAGCTCTGCCTATGTGACTGGATAGAAAACCCAACCAGGGGACTAGTAGATGCTATAATGGACTCCCACGTAGTCAACTGCGGTTTGAGTTCCAGACCCAGTGGTTTAAAACTCATGTTCAGCACATGTGCTTGCATGCCCAAAATCCCAAGAGGAGAATGGAGAAGGGACTGTAGGGTGGCCATCCTCTCTCGGGGGTGAGTTCTCGCTTTCTGTCTCTGTCTCTCTGGCAAGTGCATGTGCCCTATAGCAAAAATCTCTCTTAGGGCCAGCATGGTGGTTAAGGGCGCTGGACTCGGACATTGTCAACAATGGTTCGATTCCCAGACCTGGTAGCTTGCTTTCTCACTTTCCCTCTCTCTTTCTTAATCATTCTGTCCCTCTCTGGTCAACTTTAGTCAACTTAAATAAATAGGGGCCAGCCAGTGGTATGATGCTTAAAGGCACTGGATTCCCACATTGCCACTTGATTTCTCACTTTCTCTTTCTCTCTCTCTCTAGTCAAATTTAAAAATAATAATAATAATAATAGGGACCAGCAGTTAGCGTAATGGCTATGTCTCTGGACTCCCATGTAGTCAACCGCGGTTTGTGTCCCAGACCCGGTGGCTTAAAACTCATGCCGGGTGCATGTGCGTGCGTGCCCAAGATCCCGAGAGGAGAATGGAGGAGAAGGGATTGCGGCGTCGCCATCCTCCCTGGGGGATGATTTCTCGCTTTCTGTCTCTCTGTCTCTGGCGAGTACACATGCCCTATAGCAAAAGCCTCTAAAAATACATATATAATAATAATAATGGGACCAGCAGGTGGCGTGGTGGTTAAGGCGTTGCACACTACCACATGGCTGGCCATGGTTCAAGTCCTGGACTTGGTGTCTTGCTTTCTCACTTTCCCTCTCTGTCTCTGGGCAAATTAAAATAAATGAATAAATAAATTAATTAATTAAACTTTAAAAAAATAATGACAAATGGAATTAAATAAGTAAATATTTTTAAATAAATAAAGTTAAATAAAATAATTCTAAAAAAGAAAATAGAACTAAAAAAAAAACCCTCTCTTAAAAAAAAAAGAAAAACACAATCACAGTAGAAAATTCCTGTCTCAAGGTAATGTAGGCAGAATAGTAGGGGATGTCTAGCTGATAAAGCCACATTCGATAAAGCCAATGCAATCAGTGACCCAGCCACATTCGATAGAGCCAATGAGATGAGAACAATCAGCGGGCCCAGTCAATGATCACCCGACGTGACCTAGATTAAAAAGTTAAAAACCTCAAAGAACGTGAATGCCAGGGCCTTTGAGCCACTCTTACTCTATCCACTCAGGCCTGCTCCTACCTCTCCTGAGTGCACTTCTGCTTTTATTTAATAAACTAGCTTTTCCTTTCACTATTGGCATGTTTCATTCAATTCTTTGTCTAAAACACCAAGACCCCGGATATTACAGAAGCCATCCCACAATATAAACAGCACCACTCCTGAGTGCCCTGCAATGGCACAGGACAAGGCTAAGCAGGACATCGTCAATTACCGTATTTAAGGTAATTACTGAACGCCTGTCTTCAACTCTGTCTTCTCCAGTGGCCTATGTAAGTTGAGAAGAGCAGTCCTAGGCCTGCCTCTCTGTTAGGCCTTGATGCCCTGGAGAGCTTAGCCTCAGCCATCAGAGAGAACTAGCTCGTGCTCCAGGGCAGCCTGACGGGAACTCAGAGCCTGTGCTTTTATCCCCTTTCCCATCGCCAGCTGGGAAAAAGACAACCTGTGGCCAGGGGCTGGAGGGGCCCTGGGAGCGCCCACCACCTCTGGATGAGCCCCAGAAAGATGGAAGCTCTGAAGACCAAGTGGAAGACCCAGCAAGGAGCGGTGAGGCCTGGAAGCAAGGGATGGGGGCGGGGCGGGGCTGGGTTTTTGGTGGGCGGGGCCAGTCTGAGTCCCTCTCCGCTTGCCTTGCAGAGCCGGGGGAGGGGCCTGAGCGCCCTGCCGGCCCTGAACCTGGCACATAGGCACCCAGCCCTGCATCTCCCAGGAGGAAGAGGAGGAGGCATTGCTGTTCCCCGTAGTCCCGATCCTATCCTGTACCCTTTCCCTCACCCGCTAGGGCTGCGGCTTCTGACTTCTAGAAGACTAAGGCTGGTTTGTGTTTGCTTGTTTGCCCACCTTTGGCTGATGCCCAGAGTCCCTGGGCACTTACTGCCTGATGCCCACCCCTGCCAGTCATTCCCCCATTCACCCAGGGGGAGGCGGGATGTCAGAGAGCCCTCACTGGGAACTCCAGGAAATGAGAAACAAGGATTGACCTCGTAATTCAACTCCCTAGTTCCTCTCCCCTGGGCACAGGAGACCCACAGGGCAGGACCCTAAGATCTGGGGAAAGGCGAGACTGAGAAACCTGTAGGTATCCTTACATTCTTCTTATGCCCTTTCCCAAGGGGGATTCCAAGTCACCTCCCCCCCTCACTGGCTTCTACCAGGGCCCAGGAGTCAGGCTCCTTCTCTACAGCCTCGAATGTTGGAAATCTTCCCCTTGTCACCTCTTGTCCTCCTGGGTGCCTGGAAGATGGACTGGCATCGGCTGCTTTGTTGCGTTGTCTGTGCTTTGTTTGCAGGAAT